TAATAGATCAAGAAATGTAAATATTCCCCTGTTATTTTTTATAAAATTATAAGAGAAATAAATTTTTTCTAAATAGTATAGTTTATTATTTTGTAGAAACACAAAATTTCGAAAATTTTAGTAATGTTTCAGAAACAACCGTTATTAATAATAGGTACCATTTTCCTTAATAAGGTAGAAATAAAATATAAACTATTTCCACGATTTACAAAAGCCTACAAAAAAATTATAGGTATTTTCCGCTATCCTATAAAATTTATATTTTCTGACTCAATTTCAAAAGGTTGAAGGAATTCCAAAACACCTTTTATGGCATAATAATTATTTTCAATTCTACATACTATCTTTAGCTGCTTTTAAAAACGTTCTAAGAAAGTCCAATCAGACCAATTTAATCCCTAAATTATTCCACACTTTTAAAATTTAATTACCTAAAAATATTAAAAACTATTTAAAATAACTTGTTTAGCAGACTGTACAATAGCTATCTTAGTCACACGTAGCGCGTTCTCTGTCTGGGCGTCGAACACCTCTAGAAATTTGATGAACTGTAGTTGGGAAACCATTCTTATCGGCCAAGGCCACATACTTTGATTGCTATACGGTGCAAGAGAGAAGTCCGACGCGTCCAACATAGGGCGCGGCCATTTTGATTCCTATGCCACAGTTTATAGCTAAAGAATCAGATAGCTCACTCTGCGTCGGCACATTTGATCTCAATGTTCCAGTTTATACACTGCGCAACTCGGATAATACAATATATGACAACCGCCTATAATAAAACAGCAGACTTCTGCGTATCCTGAATTTGCATCCCTGGAGTGGATGTTATTTTGGAACTTTCAACTGGTCCGAGTGAGCTAACTGTGACTCCAAAAATAATTCACTGACACTGACAGCAGGTGCGTTTTATTCATCCGCTTCTGCTTCCGGAATTGTCGGTTTAGTCGTTTTAACCTGTCAGATTAAAACAAGAAAACCGACAATTCCGAAGCAGAAGCGGATGATTAGAACGCACCTATTAAAAATATTGCGCCAAGATGTAGGCAACACGTAATAAGGGATCAAAATGGCGGTGTTTTCTATCTGTTTTTAAAAGGCACTTAGAAAGCTGCGCTGTGCTACCAATCTCCGTATTGTAAAAGAAAATCGAAAGTATGTGACCAAGGCAGTGTCGTTTACAGATAATTCTGCAGGAGTAATAAAAGAATTGAGAATTAAAGCCTAGTGTATATTTGATGCAATACTGAGCACATCGACGAATGCAACATGTTGAATATAATTGGGCACATTCAGCCGATGCAACAGTTGAGTATGGTGACTTGTTGGGTCTTCTGAACGTCACTTGTTGAGTTTTGGTTAGTATCAATGGTTGCTCAACATCGGCACCAGGAAAATTGTATGGTGAAACAAAGTATTGTACTAAAGGAATTTTTAATTCAAAGATTTCTAGTGTTTTTTTATTGATTGTTAACCACTCTAGGAGGATAAAGCTGATTATATGTGATTATAACCGCACATTTCTTAACTTTAAACAAGATTTTTGTTGTTTTTAAAATTCTGAAGTTAAACCATGATGAAAAATGTTCGTTATGACTGATTATGACTTAGTATATTTTTACATGATCTTAATTTGTAACCGAAAATTATTTTATTTATATCATCACTAGAGGTCACCACGTGTATGTGTATTGTCTGATCCAGTGGTCGCCAACCTCTCAATGTGTTGAGCTACTTTGTTAATTTTGGAATAAACAGCGAGCTACCCACACGGAAGCCACGTAACGCAACGTAAATGAAATAATCCACAGTTAATTTATCATTATATGTATTTATTTTACTATTTAACTGGTAATACATAATACATAGGTACTAATAATAAACTAATAACAAAATAACTAATATTACTAGTACGTACTTGTTCATAGCTACATTCCTACCTACCAAACATAGGTGTTTGAAAAATAAACACAAACTTTTATCCAGCCACAACGGCATGTCACGTAAGATTTAAAAATAGTTAATAATAACAACAAAAAAGTAACGCACTATCATGAACATAAACATTGAAAAATAAAAAAGCACGTTCAATGAGAAGGCTGACACTCAGACTCATCAATAATTTTTTTAATGATTGCAGTATAATTTAATACAGCCATTCGAATACAATTATCCAAATTCATCTATTCGCTGACGATACATTAATGTATTGGTATGGGAAAGATTTTGGAACAGTAATTCAAACTTTAAACTCAGAATTAAAATTATTAACAGAGAAATTTAAAATTAATAAATTAAAAGTAAATGAAATAAAGTCGAAGTCTATGTTTATTGGGAATAATTTTCTGTATAATAAGTATTTAGGTTTAAATTTAAATGTAGTCATAAATGACGAAGTCATTGAGAATGTTGAAGAAATAAAATACTTAGGGTTAATACTAGACAGCGAATTGAAATTTAATAAGCACATTGGTTATATGTCTAAAAAAATTGGTAAAAAAATTGGTTTTATGAGAAGGGCATCACTGTTTTTATCTATATCGACTAGACAAACCATCTATAATACACTGATATTACCTCATTTCTATTACTGTAGTACTATTATTTATACAGGGTGTTCTAATTTTGATAGGTTACAAATCCTTCAGAATAAGGCAATGCGGGCAATATTGGGAAGTAATCGTTTTACTAGTTCACAGTTAATGTTGGAAGCTTTAAATTGGATGAAAATTGAACATCTACTTTATATTCAGACGATGATATTTATATATAAAATTGTTAACAACATGTTACCTGAATACTTAAACTGTCAGCTTGTACCAGTTGCAAATATTCACGGGCGTAACACTAGAACGGCAAATTCTATAAATTTTTATGTGAATTTAAGTAACAAAACCAGCTTCATGAAAAGTTTGTTTCATAAGGGTATAGTTCAGTTTAATATTCTGCCTGATGACGTCAAAGCAAGTTCAAGTGTAAATGTGTTCAAAAAAAAGATAAAGAATCATGTAAAGTTTATATAAACACAATTCGTTTTCTATGTTATGTTTTGATTGTTTCGAAACAATAGTATTTAATTTAATATTCAAAAATCCACTGATTTTTCCTAACGAATTTTTTTTTTGTTTAATTTTTTTATTCATGTTTGGTTTTTAAATTGTTAATCTACTTTCTAACCTCATAATGTACCTACGTTACTTTCTGTACTTATTATCTTTTGATAAATAAACATTATTATTATTATTATTATTATTATATTATAAATGTTTATCTGTAAGTCGATTGCAATATTTGTTCTTAATAAACTTCACATTGGAAAAAGAAGATTCACACAAATAGGTTGAACTGAATAATGCTTTCACTTTCAAGGCGACACGGCATAGAACTGAATATTTGTCTTTACTTACAATAGGCCAGATACATTTGGTACTTGAGACTAATGATTTTAAGGCTAAATCATTTTGAAACTCAATTACTTCCATTTCTGTTGCAGCGATGTCTTCGCCAAAGTTCTGCATAACACAAGTTGCAAACTGTTGGATATAAATTTCCATAAAGGGTGAAACAACAAACTGCGCTACTAAAGCCATTTCGTTGAAATCCTTAAAACGATTTTTGAAGTTATTCTTCAGGGTAGAAACTATTTCTACATGATATTTGCTGTCATAGGGTTCTAATGGATTTTGAGATATTTTTTCTGAAAGAATAGGAAAATGCTTGGCATCGCTGTTAATTAGGTTTTTTTCCCAAAACTCCAGCTTTTTGATAAATGCTTTTATATCAGAAATCATTTCCGCTAGTTCTTTGTCTCTCCCCTGAAGCTGCAAATTAAGTTCGTTTAATTTCTCTGTAATGTCCACGAGAAAACCAAAATCTCTAAGCCAGATTGAATTTTCTAGTTCCGGAGTCGGTCCATCGCGTTGTTTGAAAAATTGAACTATGCCAGACAGGACATCACTAAAAAGTTTCAGCTCCCGTCCCTTACTTAACCATCGGACTTCAGAGCAAAGGAGTAAGTCCCCGTATTGACAGTCAACTTCATCGGCCAAGGTTTTGAATAATCTTCTTTGTAACGCTTGAGCTCTAATCTTGTTCACAATTTTTACCACCAGTTTCATAACGTTGTTTAGTTTCAGGAAATTTCCACATAATGCTTGCTGATGGATAATGCAGTGGTAACAGAGAAATTGCAGAAAAGTTTCATCTTTACGACATAACGCCACCAGACCCTTATCACAACCCACCATAGCTGGAGCGCCATCGGTTGTCAAGCCTACCATTTTCGATATTGGAATTTTCTCAGAAGAAATAAAAATTTTTTAATGAGAAAACAACTCCTGTCCAGTAGTGTGTCCTTTCAGTGGAATAAACTTCAAAAGATCTTCTTTAATCGTAAAATCACTAAAAACCATCCTGACGAACACAGCCATCTGGGCAGTGTCAACGACATCTGTTGATTCATCCAGTCTAAAAACGCCTGTTTTATTATTTCCCCGTCTTCATAAGGTTTCTTTTTTGTGCAATTATCTGGGACACACGGTACGATGCTTCAGTTGCAGCCTTATTTTTGTCGACTGTTCTTAAAAATATTGATTGTTGTCCAATTAACTGCTTTTTTAACTGTTTCAGTTTCTCCTTTCTAGCGACAGAATATAGTGGGAATGATTTTTCAAAATTAGAATGAACAGTTTTATGATGTCTCTCAATATTTCCTTTTTTATCAACGGAGACCGAAGTATTACATAACAAACACACATTTGTAACTTTAACTTCTGTAAAAAAGTATTGTTCTTCCCATTCCGAATGAAAGTTTACCTTCTTACAACTGCTTGCCATAATAATGTTTTCGGTTTTAATCAACTGTTGCATCGGCTGAACGCGCCCATTGTCAGTGGTCAAAATATTAAACTGAAAAAAATTATTCTGAATTTCAGACTGTCGGTGACATCGCTATTTTAAAGAAAAATTATTTCGATCTCATTATTAATACTGCAAAATATATTGGTACAGATTATCCTTTAATAACTAAAATCGTTTATTTCAGGTGCTTGCTATGCAGAATTCGGCGTGAGAGTACCGCACACGACGGGCTCTGCCTATATGTACTCTTACGTCACCGTCGGCGAATTCATAGCCTTCGTGATCGGCTGGAATATGATCCTGGAGTACCTCATCGGTACTAGCGCTTGCGCGTGCGCATTGAGTGCCTGTTTTGACGCCTTAGCCAACGGTGCTATTACGTCGGCTGTTCACGAGAGTATAGGAAAGACTATTGGTAAGTAAACAAAAATTTGACACACATTTTACACAATGTTTTCCATTTTTCCATACTTTTTTTATCCACCAACGAATATTTTGCACATACAGTTAATTTAATAAAGTCGTGTAGGTACTTCCTCAAGTTTCATATATGTAACTTGTTTTAAAACCGTTTATTTTCAGGAAGAGACCCGGACTTCCTAGCCTTCGTTATCACCCTCCTGATGATGGTCCTTCTTGCAGCGGGCGTTAAAAAATCGTTAATATTTAATAACATCCTGAACGTAATCAACTTCTCAGTGTGGATATTCGTGATGACAGCCGGATTATTTTACGTCAACACAGACAATTGGACGAAACACAAAGGGTTCCTGCCCAAGGGTTGGTCAGGGGTAAGCACTAATATATTATATTGTTATAAAACCATAAAAATTGTAGTAATTTAAATTATATAAAACAACTAGCTGTTGCCCGCGACTTTGTTCACGACTTGACTCGCATGTAGTCGTGTTATTAATATAAAAAAATACGTAACTTCCTTTTTTATTAATTTTCATTAATAATCCGGTCAATCTAGACATTCAAGGATACATAAATTCGCACCTGGATGAAAGTTGGTAGGATTATTCAAAACACCATTATAAATGAAACCTAAAAAGTCGTCATCAATCCGGCACCTGGAAAAAAATTTACTCGTTGTCAAAGGTCACAAAAATGGGTTTTTCGCGATTTTCAGCAAAACGGTAATTTTTATCACAAAATTAGTTCAGATCAAAATTGTAGAGCAGATAATTATCTATAAAAAATGTCTAAGATTTTTTTTCCTAAGAGCCACATTTTCCTAGATATAACAATTCAAATAATAATTTAATAATAATACTAATAATTTTATTCATTTTTTTATATTTATTCATTTTTTTATATTTATTCATTTTTTTATATTTATTCATTTTTTATATTTATTCATTTTTTTATATTTATTCATTTTTATTTATTTTTACTCATTTTTATTAATTTCTATGCATTTTTATGCATTTTTATTCATTTTTATTTATGTTTATTCATTTTTATTCATTTTTATTCATTTTTTATATATTATTCATTTTTATTTATTTTTACTCATTTTTATTCATTTTTACGCATTTTTATTTATTTTCATTCATTTTTATTCATGTTTATTCATTTTTATTCATTTTTATTCATTTTTATTCATTTTTATTCATTTTTATTCATTTTTATTCATTTTTATTCATTTTTATTCATTTTTATTCATTTTTATTCATTTGTATTAATTTTTAATTATTTTTATTACTGTTTAATAATTTTTATTAATTTTTATTAATTTTTTTTTTAATTTTAATTAATTTTTATGATACTACCATACAAAAATCTAACCACAGAGCACGTCATTATTTAATTATGGTACAATTATAATTTTCAAGTTCCAATGTTCAAAAAATGTATACTTCTATACAAATTTTTACCCCCGTTTCCCCCTTAAAATGTGAAAATCCAAAAACCATGAAACACATCATTTTTGATTTTTAATCAGTAGCTGTAATTCAAATGTTTATGTTTCAAACTTTGAATAACAAAAAAATATATACAAACTATTAAACAAATTCCCCCCCCCCCCATTTTCCCCCTTAAAATGTTAAAATGCAAAAATCCTGAAACACTCATTTATTTATGATGAAAAACTACAATTCCAATTTTCAAGTTCCTACCTTTAAAAAAATCGATATCTCCAAATAGACTTTCACCCCCCATTCCCCCCCCCCCCCCTTAAAATGTAAAAATCCAAAAACCCTGAAACACCTCATTAATAATTTGTAGTCAGTAGCTGCAATTCCAATTTTCATGTTTCTAACTTCAAAGAGAACAAAAATAATCAATAGTCCCATACAAACTTTCACCCCCCGTTTTCCCCCCTTAAAATGTAAAAATCGAAAAACTCTGAAAAACGCGTCAATATTTATTTATGCTTAGTAGATCTAATTTAAATTTTCATGTTTTTAATTTTAAAGAACAAAGAGTTTCATTAAAAGCTCCCTCCCCCATTTCCTCCAATTTCCCCCCTTTAGAGTTAAAATTTTGAAAATTTCTTTCTTAGCGGATGCTTACATTATAAAATAAACCAATGCTTCAAATTTCAGCTTTCTAAGCTCAGTAGTTTTAGCTGTAGATTGATAGGTCAGTCAGTCAGTCAGGACAAACAATTTTTTATATATAGATAGATAAATTAATTTTCGTCAATAATAAAATTAAAATTAGTTTAAATGCGACTTGTTATTAACTGGACATATCGCGTTTTACATCTATACCCCTCATTTATTACTTAATACTATTTTTAACTCATTACGAGTGGAAGAGATCATATAATGTAGTATAAATTAGACTCTTAAGAAATTATCAGTACGCCCTGGTATACGCTTTTACCGAAAACGAAAACTTTTTAAAAATTAACTTGTTCAGTGGATTCGCAACACGTTTTACTCGAATATTAACTTCCGGTAGTTACCCGCCATATACGAAATTGTAATTTTTATTAACCCATCTAGAATAAATAAAATTCCGGAATTTTTCAGTAGAACTATTTCGGTTTTTATTTCTAACGAAAAGGGGTGAACAGAGTGGTGACCGTTTTCGCTCGCGTAAGCCAGTCGATCGTATTTGCTTTTCTCGCGGGAATTTTCTATGGAAACTACATTCTATATCCAAAACTTTTCTTGTACAGTTTCATACAATCTCTAATAAATATTTGAAGTGAGATTTTCTTATCATACAATCGATAAGCTTTGAGTATTCCTTTAAATTTTTATGCTAGATATTAAAACCGCAGAAATATTCAATATATAAGATATTTTCAAGGTACGCAATGATAAAACTCGAAAAAAAGCAAAATGCTTTTTGAAAATTGTATTAAATAAGTATTATTCTGTTTAAAAAACATAAAAAACTGCTTTTATCGCAACTAAAACAACAAAATTATTATAATACAGATAAGAATAAATATAAAACTGTAAAATTTGATCAAAAACCTCGAGAATTTCTTTTATAACAACCACAAATTCAAAGGTTTAAATTTTCACAGCACCATATCGTTATAGTCTATTTTTATGTATGAGAGAGTATTAAAATAATAAAGCGTTCGTAATCCATAGGCGTAGCACTTCTTTTAGTAGACAGTTAAAATATTTTTTGAAGTTATTCCTCGAGTATACACTTATATTTTCATCTAATTAACCTGCTTATAACTTCTAAACAGCTGAAGGTAAAAAGTGCAATTTTTTCTAAAATGCTTTATATTTCCACAAGGTATGTTAAGAACATTGTGTCAAACGGGTTATGTAGGTATAAGGGTTTAAACTTTGACTTTTAAACAACGTTACGTTCATAAATAATAATTTTAATATAAAAACTACTTCTTACCTACAAATCCAAATCAGAATCGAAATCAGAAGATGAACTTTCGCAACCAATATTTACAATGAGTGGCTCGATCATTTCATCAGTAATATTGTACAACTTCCACATTTTCTCTTCTTCTTTAATCGTATGATTTACTGCCTTTTCCCAGTTTTCAGGCTTCACATTATTTACAGCCTCCAAAAACAACTGTTTAACATCACTTATTTTAAAAGAATTATTTTTTCTTGAAACTTCTCCCTTTATCTTTGCCCATATCAGTTCAATCGGGTTTACTTCGCAATGATATGGTGGTGATCTAACCAGCGTCATCCCACGATTTTTTGCAATTTCATCAATTTCATATTTTTTGAATTTCTATTTATGAAGGGAACACAAATGATACAGTTCTTTTCTCACAGAACCGGGATGGAACTTAATATTCTTTGTGAATTTAGCCAATTCTGTAAATCTTTTTTTAACCACTTGGTTGTGGGCATTTTTTCTATAAGTCTCGAGTGATAACTTGCATTATCCATTACTATTATACAGTTCTGAGGAAGAAGATTTATAATTTGTTCGAACCACTCTTTACAGACATCAGCATTCATGTCCTCATGGTAGTCACCGGTACGAGTAGATTCAAAAGTCAATAAACCACCTTTAACAAAACCGTTTGAACTACCGATGTGTACTATTATTAGTCTGCGCCCCTTTCCTGATATGTGGATTTAAACCAGTAGATAAATTATTTAAAAAAGCCTGTCTTCGACTTGTAACAGTTTCATCTTCCCAAAATTTATTTGGTTTATGTCCCTCGTTGATCCATGTTTCATCTAAATAAAATATATTTCTTCTTTGGTTTCTCATTTCTTTTATAGTCCTTAGGTAATTTCTTCTCCATACTACAATATCGCTTCTTTCTATTAAAATAGACTTTCTGGAATGCTTTTTCCATAGAAAACCTATTTCTTTTAAAAGTTTCCATAGTGTGCTTCGACTCATTTCAGGGTAATCCTTATCATCTCGAACCGTGGCAAGAACTTTGTCTACTATCGGAAATTCTTTTCTAAAGAAGAACGCATGCACTTTCCTTCAAAGTCTTTCTTTCAAAAGATTTTCTAATTGAAATTTTGGTTTTCCTGGAGCTTTACGTGCTATTTGAAACTCGCCACATTTCTATTCTTTAACAACTCTGTAAATCGTAGATTTCCCAACACCAAGCGTACTACTAACTAATTCCACTGTGTCATCAATACTTTTACATAAATGTTTGTCTGTAAATTATTTAAAACAATTAAATATTAATGTTTTTTCATTAACTGTTAAAGGACCGATTTAGTAAACTGTCAAGAATTCACAACTTGGACCTCCTTACTAAATGGAAAACCTATAATCGCATTTTCGGTGAAATTTGTTGGGAAGGTATTTATTTACTTATAATTCGATTACTGTAAGAAATTCTTGGAATTAAAATAAAACAAAATTGGCAAATAGGTACTTATTGAAAATAATCTTAAGATACGGCTATGTAATCTTTAATACACAGGACTTTTGGCCTGTCCAAACCTTTTTCTATTGTTCTGTACAGCTTATGTTTAAAAAGGACCAATAAAAGACCCAAAACTTGTAATAGCTTAGGTACATTTATTACAATTTTAGGAAATATTTAGATTATTCTGTAAAAATATTTAAAAGGACCGTACTAAAATGCTGTTTTATTACTCTCTCATACATAAAAATAGACTATAGTCGAGTCAAACTTTATTCTGTATTAAGTTATATAAATGTCCCGACAACAACCTTATCCCACCTGTTCTTCAAACTAACGTTTTACCCTCAAGCCCAACTTCGAGTTAGTCTCCATGGAGAGTTTTTACTAAAACTTTGTTTGGACAACTAAGAAAGTTTCTTAAACTGTCTTACTTTGCCTAACTGGATTCTACATTCAACAAAGCCAGTTTACTTTAGCCCTTGACAACAT